GGGGCGAGGTGACCTCGCTGAGCCACGCCGTAGAAGGGCCATCCAGGTTTCTACGGCGTCTCAGAGTGGTCCCGCCCGCCCGCCCTGAATTCCGATGAAAAGATCAATCTTCATCTTTTTCAGCTTCTCGTTTCCGAGCGGGAGCGGATTTGGCTCAGGAAGCTACACGACTGGGTCTCCCGTTAGCTGGAGTTATTACAAACGCTTTACAAGCCGACCGAGCCCCGACAACAATTTCTCTCTACAAGGCGGAATTGGGAAAATTCACTTCCTGGAAGATTAACTCTCGCATCCAGAACATCCCTCTTCCTAAGGCTAGAAACTTATACCTTGCTTAGTCGACAAAGACATCCAGGCGTCATTACTCGAGGCGGAGAAGAGGACAGCCCCTCCGGTAATACATCGAGCCAAGGTCGATCCCCTCTCTATGCGTAGGATCGTAAACGAGGGCATCAGGTCACAGGATGCTAACCATAACGCAGGCTGCGACTTTGGCGCTATTACAATTCAAAGCGTTCCTCAGAATAAGCGAAGCTAGGTGCCTAAAGACTCAAGACATTAAGCGCGTTAACAATGTGGATTGGCTGTAACCATCGAAAAATCCAAAACGGATCAGTACAGGACAGGAGCAACTAGCACGATTCGTTTAGACAAGCTAGAGCAACCTGCTGACAAAATATCTATCTTCCACAGAGAAGCAAATGTACCTACTTCAATCATCTTCTACGGGAGCCCCTCTCACGTATGCCACTTTGCGATACCGGCTAAGTGCGTTGCTCAAAGCATCTCATCTTCAGCATTTGTCATTGCACTCCTTTAGAGGAGGAGCTGCCTCCCTGGCACTTGACCTGAGGTTTCGACCAAATCAGGGTTATGCAGGCGGGGAGATGGAAATTTACAAAAGCTTTCTCTAGCTATATATCTCCAAAACCAATATCCCTCCCAACAGCATACGCAGCATCCCAAAACCCTCTACATAAATCTGGTATTATTGTAGCCACAAGTTACTTCCTTTATGTATCTATCTACAGGTTCTTTTCCATATCATCTCCTGCCGCTTCCGTGGAACGTGTCAATTACGTGGTTCATGTATCATCAGTCCTCAACAATTGGTCGTCATCTCATCAGGCATTGTCTCATATTTCATTTAGGGGCCATTAATCGTGAACGTTTCATCCCTAACTTCATGCCTTATCTATAACAGTTGTCTCTGTGCTACTATACCAGTAAATTATCACATGCCAGGTTTTACATCTCGTCTCATGTTCTTTCTAACATTTCATGCATAATGTGCAAATTTTGAGTTCTTCCTATTTGGTGCATGTACATACACTTTCCGTTATATTAAACCTCGTGGTACATCATTCATAATATTATGTACTACAATCATTACATGTAATCTTCTCTATCTCAGCTCCCATGCAAAGGCAGAAGTTAAAACTATTTGTTCATTGTACTTCTGTGTACTAATATGTGATATGTATGTACATGCAATATATACTATATACATCGACGCCACGGAATAAAACCTGATTCTCCACTGTCTCTACACGTCAATAATTCAAAATGGTATTTATACCAGAGTATTACGGAGGTATAAATGGTTATAGCATTTTTCTGCTCGACTTTTGATATACAAGTTTTACTATTTCGAGAATAAAGTTACTACGAAACAATACGAAGAATTTGCATCACTAGCCGTCGTATTATGGAATGCTATTTGTATCTCAGAGAAAGCGCACGATTTCTTGTTCGAGAAATCAGTGGGAGGGTGGGATGCGGCGGGAAATTTTGAACGGATATACCTGTCGGTCATGTCTGAAGTTGAGGCCGATGTGATGGTTTGCGAATTGAGCGATTCGCTAGATCCGAGCGTTGCGCCAGCGAATCGAACTTGTACCAGCGAGTCGAACGATGTACCAGCGACTCAATAGTGGCGGGACCCAACGTTCAAAGGAAGCTACTTTCGAACAGTGTCACGTGACAGTGGACCCTTTTTGAAAGTGGCGGGACTTGACAGTGGACACTGTTTGAAAGTGGCGGGCTTCCTTTGAACGTTGGGTCCCGCCACTATTGAGTCGCTGGTACATAGTTCGACTCGCTGGTACAAGTTCGACTCGCTGGTGCATCGTTCGATTCGCTGGCGCAAAGTTCGATTCGCTGGTGCAACGTTCGATTCGCTGGCGCAACGCTCGGATCCAGCGATTCGCTAGCGAATCGCTCGATTCGCAAACTATGACATCGGCCTGACAGAGTGGTGGGGGTACTAATTGCTAGTTATGCGCATCACTCGAAATATGAATTTCAAGCTGTCAGGGCACTTTTCGTGCCAACACAACAGGGAGGTCGCGACATCGCCGTCTATATTTTCGGCGTCGATGCGAAACTGATTTATGAAGTGCATTTCAAATGGCTAGAGAACTTCTTCCCCCTTAAGTGTGTTTCCTCA